TAACCAAGCAAGAACATGATTAAACTATTGTGGCAAAAATATATCAGGAGTGATAAAAGTCTATAATAGGCATGCTTCACCGTCATCCTGCAGAGCCTAGATGACTTACCTGAAAGTCAAGATCTCAAAATAGAAATGGACATACCATTTTCGTGTTGCTACCGATATATAATTATACTAGGGGCCCAGAGCATGAATTCATGCACCTTGAAAGGAACTGTGGGCCGCAAAGCTGCAGTGGGCACAGGGACAAGTCTCAGCCCATCCTCCATGACCCCGCCTGGCCCCTCCCACCACAGCCCCCCTCTCCTGTCTGCCGGCAGCCCCGCTCCTGCGCTGCTGCTCCCATGCGCTGATGGTGCTAGCCCCACTCAGCTGACAGCACGGAGCGATTAGGGCTAGTGCCTGCAGCAGATGCAAGCAGGGCCGCACCATCAGCAGGTGCAAGCAGCGGCTGCTGCCCCAATTGCCCCTCAGGAGCAGGGGAAGGTGGAGAAGCCCTCAGGGGCAATCGGGGCCGGCAGCCGCCGCTTGCACCTGCTGATGGTGCCGAGGATTGGGACTGGGGCCAGCGCCGGCAGCAGGTGTGAGCAGGGCCATCGCCAGAAACAGGTGAGAGAGGTGGATGCTGGCCCTGATCGCCCATCAGGAGCAGGGGGAGTTGGAGAAGCCCTGAGGAGAGATCAGGGCCAGCAGCTGCCCCTCACACCCACTGATGGTGCCAAGCGGTAGGGGCTGGCGCCGGCAACAGGTGCAAGCGGGGCCAACGCCAGCAGCAGATGCAAGCACCAGGCAGGACCACAGCACACTGGAGCAAAGAATTTTCAGTAACCAAGTAACCACCAGAGGCTCGCCCAATGACAGTGACAGGGCCCAGCCTTGGTCTGGCACTCTCCTGCCACCCCCCCCTTCACCTGTTCCACCATCCCACCCCAGCTGATGCCCACCATGTTCCATGCTCTGCTGCCTGCTGCTGACACCCGCCATGTTCCGAGTGCACTCCTTGGTGGTCAACGCACATCACAGCAACCGGTTGTTGAATTGTTCTACCATTCAGTCTATTTGCATATTAGGATTTTATATATATAGATACCAAGCAAATGAAGAAACTGAACTATATTCTACAAGAAGTCATCTGTTGCCGAAACCAGTTTGGCTCAGTGGATAGAGCGTCGGCCTGCGGACTGAAAGGTCCCAGGTTCGATTCCAGTCAAGGGCATGTACCTTGGTTGCGGGCACATCCCCAGTAGGAGATGTGCAGGAGGCAGCTGATCAATGTTTCTCTCTCATCGATGTTTCTAACTCTCTATCTCTCTCCCTTCCTCTCTGTAAAAAACCAATAAAATATATTTTAAAAAAGAAGTCATCTGTTAAATAAACGAATGGGCTCCCCTTCCCAACAATTAAATAAGAAAAATAAAATATAAAAAGCTTTTCCTTCCAGTTTCCAGTGAAAGCAGCAAGATTAAAAAATCAGTTCTACTTCTTCTATCAAAGAAGCACAGTGGATCCTAGAGAGTAACTGTTAAATTCCCAATTTTAACATGGCGGCTCTATAGTGAGAAACTGCAAACAGCAATCCTCCTATATAACAGAGAGGTAATATGCAAATTGACCATCACACCCTCACACAAGATGGCCGCCCCCATGTGGTCACAACATGGCCATCACAAGATGGCCGGCAGGGGAGGGCAGTTGTACGCAATCAGGCCAGCAGGGAAGGGCAGTTGGGGGTGACCAGGATGGCAGGGAAGAGCAGTTGGGGGTGACCAGGCCGGCAGGGGAGTGGTTAGGGGGTGATCAGGCTGGCAGGTAGAAGCAGATAAGGGGCAAGCAGGCAGGCAGACAGGTGAGTGGTTGGGAGCCAGCAGTCCCGAATTGTGAGAGGGATATCCGACTGCCGGCAGTTGGAAATCCCCCGAGGAGTCCCAGATTGGAGAGGGTGCAGGCTGGGCTGAGGGACACCCACTGCCAATGCACGAATTTTATGCACCAGGCCTCTAGTATATAATAAAAAGGTAATATGCAAATGGTTGTTACACCATGATGGTAACAACCGATCAGCAGGAGGGCAGGGCAGTGAGCTACAGAGCAGTAGAGAGCTACAGGAGGGCGGGGCAGCAAACTGCAGTGTGGGTTAGAACTACAAGCAGCAGTGGGCGGGGCGGCCAGCTGAGACAAGCTGCAGAGAGCAATCTGCTCACGAATTCATGTGTAGGGCCACTAGTTTAAAATAATAACAACAACAATAAATAGTACATACAAACATCCTTCACTGCTTTATTAACTGACTTTGCACAAGTTACTTAACCTTTCTGAGTCTCATCTAAGAAATGGGGATAATGCTTATAAAACTATCTTATTATGATTGATTGAGATCTTATAAGTAATATATATAAAACACACTGAGATCAATGCCTAGACTACAGAAATGCTCAACAAATAATTCCCTCCTGCCATTCACTAGTACCTGTAGCCCTTTGCTACTCCTGGATCAGCCTCCAGGGGCTATGCTGATGTTTTGGCCAGTAACCTATGGCTCCTCCCTCAGGCCCCAGCTGTTTCTCTCAGTTCTAGTTGTTTCACTAGGGGTTTCTAAGAGGATTCTATCTATATTTAGAGATAATGCTAGTACCAACTGTGGACTCAACAGGTGCTTAGAGGACACTTGAATACTCAGCAGTTTTCCATTGTTTTTCTGTGTGAACTAATTTTGATTCCACAATTGGCTGTCTTGACTACTACAAGGAAGAGTGACATGTATGCACAGCACGCCGGCAGTACATTAAACAGAAAATTAAGTGTGCTCACAGGACAAACCTTAGTAAGATGTGTTAGCCCTATTATCAGGACCCCAGATTTAGTAAATTACAGGAGGAGTAAACACTCAATTAACTCTAGAGATGTAGCCCACTAACCCACTCTCCATCTAAATAATTAATATATCAGATCCAAGTTGCAACCAATTCATGCTGCTTGTACTACAACCAAAACCAGAGGATGGAGAGGGCAAGAAGAACCATTAAACAGTGAAGATTGATTGAGTGATTGATTTATAATAGATTTTTATTGATTTCAGAGAGGGAGAGAGAGATAGAAACATCAATGATGAGAGAGAATCATTGATCAGCTGTCTCCTGCATGCCCCCCCGCTGGGGATCAAGTCCCAAACCCAGGCATGTGCCCTTGACCAAAATCAAACCTGGGACCCTTCAGTCCACAGGCCAAGGCTCTATCCACTGAGCCAAACCAGCTAGGGCCATACAGTGAAGATTTAAAGAAGACATCCAAAAGAGCTGGATCTGAATTCAGCTTTATTTACTAGCTCTGTGACCTCAGTGAATTATTTCACCTCTTAATTTATAAAATAGGAAATAATTGTGAGGATTCAATTAAATGAGATAATGTATGCAAAACAATCTTAGCACCTTGCCTAGCCCACTGAAAGAGGTCAATAAAGAGCCATATTATCATTAATGAGGACACTGCACTCACTCCTTGCTTTGTCCACTTTTTATAACATAAAAGTAAAGTGACAATTTACATAATTATTTTTGGACTTTTATAAAGTGGCCTAATGCTACTATACAAGATCTAGCTGAGAAATAAATATAAACTGATGAATTCCCAGAAATCTTAAATGAGTCAGCAAAACTTAATGCCCAACAAATAAAAGGCTTACCGTAGACTATTTATGAACACAGAAAGGTAACTACAGTTTCAAAACCAACAATCTTGTACCTAATACCATTCATTCAAAATTTAGTCTGGAAATCCAAGTTATTAGAAATACTTCCCACCCACCACAATATTTTCAAATAAGGTGATTTTCAAATCACCTTCATTCAAATTGGGAGATATGAGGCAGCCTGATCATTTGAAATCAGCATCAAGATTTTGAGGCAGCCACACTCTCTCACGAACATAAAACCAGTAGCAGATGGTACCTGAACATTTCTCAGTGAGAAAATGCAATTCTAATAAAGTACAGATAACTTCGATTTTATTCATCACCTTTCGGTCTAAATGAAAACAAACTCTTGGTTCTCCCTCAAACACCATGAACTCTGCATTATCACTGACCTGACTCAAAAGCAAGATAGGCGCCTGTTTCTGGAGACCCGGCCTCTCCTGCTTCATTAACCACAGGTAAAATACGTACTGTAACCTGAGCAGAGGAGTCACCATTATTACAGGTATGCTTTATCAATGAAACGGACTATAAATGACAACCAAATTACTAAAAGAGCAGCTTGTACTCCTTAGCAGAGGGACAAGCCTGGGACAGATCCACCTTCTAAAATAACCCAATCATCCTGGATGAATTAGGAGAACTCGGTCCACCTACCCTACACTCTCTAACTAGATCTACCCTCCGCTTTAATTCAAGCCCAAAGCACATCTATTTCATTCCTCTGCCCCACTTCGCATAATTTTCCGTTCTCTTCCACCATCCCAATTCCAGAATGCTCTTTTATCTCCCCTCGATTCCAAAAATGCTCTTCTATCTCTTATTTTCAAATCCCACTTTGCCCCAAACCTTAAGGACCTCCGGCACCCATGCAGATGACCTTACGCATTCCCACTGCATTCCCAATCCATTGCACTTCCACTCCCTAATAACCCTTTTTTTTTTCATTATTTTCCATCTCTCCTTGTTTCTTAAAATCCAATACCCCACACACGGTTACACCAGAGAACCCCCTCACTCCATTGTTCCCCCGGCCTCTGCCTCTGGAAACACCCCAACTCGGACCGGTGTGCTTGGGCCCGCCCCGCTGACCCCAGACACCTTCCACCATCTGGGCACCCCAAGTCCCAGGGGCTCACTTCCCCGTCCCCTCCGT